GTGATATGGTACCATTGGCCTTTACAATAACATGGTGATATGGTACCATTGGCCTTTACAATAACATGGTGATATGGTACCATTGACATTTACAATAACATAGTGATATGGTACCATTGACATTTACAATAACATAGTGATATGGTACCATTGGCCTTTACAATAACATGGTGATATGGTACCATTGACATTTACAATAACATAGTTATATGGTACCATTGGCCTTTACAATAACATAGTGATATGGTACCATTGGSCTTTACRATAACATRGKKATATGGTACCATTGGCCTTTACAATAACATAGTGATATGGTACCATTGGCCTTTACAATAACATAGGTATATGGTACCATTTGCCTTTACAATAACATAGGTATATGGTACCATTGGCCTTTAAATTAGCCATTTCGGCGTTATGAAATGAATTATAATTTCTGTCATATTGAGCCAATCAAAAAACTAACCATATCACCAAAAAGACTTTATCGACTTTASTGTAGGTTCCAAGTTACWGATCATTTGGACAAATATTCAATTAATGAGAAGCCGTGCAATTTACAGAGAATGTATGGGGATTTTGACCGCGTCCCCCAAAACAATACATTCTCTGTTAATTTGATGAAACTAGGAATAAATACTGTTCAGCTAGTTTTTATCCGGGAAACGTTTCAAAACTTGGTATATTTACTAATTTTTGGGTGTCCTTTCATGGGGTGGGCGATTAGTTTCGCGATTAGATCAATATTTCTTTGATTAGTGCTCAGTCCCCTGCGCAACTCCGAAATGGCTAATAACATAGGGGTATGCAAGCTTTGCCTTATTAGTTGGGAGAACTGAAAAAAAGCAGTCAAATTACAGAAGTGTCACCATACGATACAGTCGAACACTGACTTGTAAATTGATCTTGGTTTTACTTCAAGGACACCGATGCAAGGAGAAGTTCCAATGTGTTGATGGAAGCTGCACTGATTGGAAAAACACTTGCAGAATAGGAAGTTATTGTACCGAAAACTCTCACAATCCAAATATTTGTGGTAAGCTTTCAATACATATGTCATGTTTTGATGCTTAGTTCCCTCTTGAATAAAGCACATTTTCAACAAAATCAGCTAAATGTTTTCTTTCTTACATTACTTGTTTAAAGGTCATAGTAATTGTACATTAAAGAATCTTGGATGCAATACTCGAGAATATTCACCTACAAAGCAATTCACAATGTGTACGACAATATCAGGTATGGTATTGCTTAAAGGGCCACGTGAGTGCATCCAAGCACCTTTACGCGAATTTCTCACCTACGGTTCGTCATCTTCGATATGGAACTAATCAGAAAGCATCTATAAACAAGAAATCATTTGTAAATATAAAGAAACGATCATAAAGGCTCTTGTATGCACGTGGCCCTTAAACATAACCAAGATCAGACACTTTTTAAAATATCCATAGTCTTATAAAGAGTTTTCACTGGTGTGTACTGATGCTTAAGTATCAATCAAGAGATCATGGAACATCTGANCTCTTTAATGGGATCAGCCACTTCCTCATACGGCGCTCTTTAATGGGATCAGCCACTTCCTCATACGATTAATTGTCAACTTAGAAAGTCTAGAAACAAAATATATACAACTGGAAAGTAACCGTAAGCTAAATTAGAGAAAACTAAAAGATGAATGCATTTTTTCGTCATGGACAAAATGTTGTCAAGTAACAAAAAGCACATCATGAGGTCGTGAAAAATAGTTAGTTATAAACATATTCCAGACTAAATTATATTCCATCTTTAGTTCCCTGTTCATTCGACGATGGTTTTTGTGGTTTCACACATGATGTTCGCTCTCAACGGAAATGGTTTATCGGGCAAAGCGCAACACCAACGCAGAATACTGGACCAAGCATTGACCATACTACTTTGACACATAAAGGTACACTTATCATCTTTCTTTGGCAGTGCAACGCCGTCGTTTTTCCTCTCTGTTTTTTTTCTTTTTTCTTTTGGATTGACGACTGCAAGTCGTCAACAACCTCCCTAGTCTTTATCAATTGTGCGATATAATACAAAGCCTTGGGCATAAACTTGCATAAAGCATGCCATATTATTATAAAAGGTGGCGGAATTTAACACACTGCCATAAGCTCATAATGAGACTGAATGTTGATTTTTTTAGGATCTTACATCTTTATTGAAGCGTCAGAAAAAAAGTTAGGTGATAAAAAAGCAAGACTGACAAGCTGCTGGTTCAATGCAAATATAACTCAGTGTTTGCAGTTCTGGTATCACATGTATGGCATTCGAATTGGCTCACTTAGGATTTTAAAAAAAACTAACAGTTCTGAAGACACGATCTGGGACCAGAGTGAGAATAAAGGTGATCTTTGGAGATTTGGCCAGACAACTCTTGAAGGAAATGATGGACAGAATTATCAGGTACCTAGACAGTTAAATGGATGCATTGTGATAAGAAAATTGGATTCAAATACAAATATTAAAATTAAGATTATGCTGAAATATTAATTGATATAATATAAGATGGTAAAAGTACCTAAATAGTTGTCCCTCTTTTTTGTAGTTTGTTATTGAAGGAGTGACACGCCAAGGTAATGAAATGGAAAAAGGTGATATTGCCGTTGATGACGTCACATTGCATGACGGAGTCTGTAAGACAGTCTCTTCNTTATTATTTGCCATTGAAATGTCTTTCAATTCATAGGTCCGGGTGCACAGGCCAACGGAATTCTATCCTTTTAGTGGTAATTTTTCCTCACAAACTTGTATACAAACAATCAGAACAAGAATATCAGGAGGTAACAATTTCCATTTTTCACCAGACCTCAGCAAAACTCATACAATTCTTCTCACTCATGAAAATAAATTTTTTATCAACGGTGATGACACAATTGTGCATTTCAAGCTATGATAATCAATTTGTGGGCAACCCATGTCAATGTCAATGTGTAATCCTAGATGGCACAGTCAGCTCCAGATCTCCCATCTCATAAGCTTTTTGCTATAACACCTATTATTATATGGCTTAGATAGAACGCGCGCTCTGATTGGCTGTTGTCAGATAATGACCGGTCGGAATTTTCCTGTAATGCCCGCTCACAGCGGTCATTATTTTTCGCGATTAGACCAGCTTTGACTTTAATTGAGTAAGACAAAAAAAACACAATTTGAAACGCATTGCAAAACAAAGATATTCCTTTAGTTCGTTTACGAAAAAAATGTTTTTATAAAACATTTCTGCTAATTTTTGCAAAATGAGCGACGACGACAACTACAGTGAAAGTGAATTTATTTTAAGTTATCTTGACGAGATTAGTGCGAAAGCCGACAAAATGGCTACCAAAAAGACGAAAACCATTATATTTTTAGTACCAACCGACGAAAATGACGAAAATCATTATATTTTTAGTAATTATCTGCAAAAATGCGGGAATAATGGCTCCTTATTTCATATTCAGTAAAATTTTCATGCACAAATACATTATTACAGTCTACTCACAAATTTTCAATGATTCTTCTATCGACAAGGCCGGTGTAGGTTTGTTTATTAATTCTTCGAAGGGGATGCCCCTCAATATAGAATTACAATTTTCTTCTCTTTCTCCAGCTACCGAGGAGTTATTGCATTGAGCAATTGCAAAAGTAAACTTGGTAGACGACGGTTATGTCCCTTGAAAGTTTACCTGTTTTCAGCTGTTTTCATTGAGAAAGTTTGGCATTTGAACGAGTTCACACTGACTCAAAATTCCTTCAACTACACTTCCAGGTTTTTTCTCTTTTTTGTAGTAAACGAGCTCAAAGAGAGGAGTAATTGAATTTTTAAGAGGAGGATTTCATTGTTAAATCACTTCCGTTCTTTTATTTTGTTCACGTTATATACTTTATTTATTTTTTATTAAGAGAGCCATATAATAAATAACTTATTAACCTCGTCCAATCGGTCATTACAGGGAAATCTCAGACCACGGTCTTGTTTGTATGGACTTCGCTATCGCTCGGTCCATACTTCCAAGACCTCGGTCTGAGATTTCCCTGTAATGACCTCACTCTCGGTTAATAAGTAGTATATATTAATCTTGTAGGAACTAGCGGAGTAGGATGTGACATAGATTTAAAAAACATCAATTGCCCTAAAATTGCAATTTCACGTGTATTGTACCAAGGATTTTTTAGATCAGAAGACATGGGTTTTTCTTCAATTAAATAAACAATCAAAAATTGAGAGCATTATGCTTTTAGTACTATTTGATGTCACCGTGCAAATATGTGCTATTAGTATTACCATACTAGTGGACTATTGCAAATCCTTCGTTTTGATTGGCTACGCTACTTGGGGTCAATTTTCAGCAATTATACGACTTGAAATTTACCCTTTTCCGCGATTTTCTATTCGTCCAAAACAACTAAATTGATGGTAGTAAGCACTAGTTCTTTTAATCTGCTGTTCTTGTCGTTGATAAGGTTTAGTAGAGGCGAAACAACAACAACTAAATGTCTCTGCTTATCGTGTTTTATCTTCTGTTTTATGTCGAAGCTAATACTTGATTTATAAAGCAGTTCAGATTATTAAACAAACATGTATGTCTTCTCCTCAAAAAATGTCAGTCGTTTAGCGAAAATTGAATTCGTATTATTACGTCTGATAACATTTAGATATCCACCGTGGCGTTGCGTAACCTTCCGAAATCGGGGAGGCGTTTTGTGATTGGCTAATAGCGGGAATGGAATCCTATATATACTCGGGTAAGCAGCCTCTTCTTTTGGGAGGGACAGGAAGCCCGACAAAATGGGAGGCTGCGAAGGAGACTATTGAATAACATACCAGTTGAAAGAGGAGCTTAATGAATGTCTTGCGATATTTTATGCTTCCGCGTGAAAAGAAGAAGGAACCGAGTCCAAAGTGTCATCGCCGAAAGCAATCCGAGACAACCGATTCCTCGGGTAGCCACCAAACAACAAGCCTTGGTCGATTGTGAGCGACTCAAATTTCCTAAAATCTTAACTTCGATTCTAGACAAGCACGGTCGAGCGCCTGCCAGTTAAAAGACAAGTCTAGCCGCAATTGTGAAACATTAGCACGCGTGGCCGAATCGATAGTGCCTTAGATTTCAGATCCAGCGGGCCAAAGTAACCCATATTTCTTTGATTTCTTTATTTGCCAAAAAATAAATGAATTCAATCAGATATAGCACAGGGAAACCAGTAAAGAAAAATTAGTGAATAAATTACT